ACGATGAGATTTAGTTCAATAAGGGGAAAACAAGTAGCTTTGTATTTGTTTACATATGCTTGGGCTAATGACTCAATTAAAAGTTAATCCTTTTGAGTCAACTAGGACCCAAGTTGATTAGCCTAATATCTTAGGCTCATTGGCCTTCGCAACCCGACACCATCATTACTAAATATAGTTTATTCAAAAAAGCAACCTAGTGCAGGAGGGTTCCACTATCATGCACTATAGGGAAGGTCAGATGTATGCAACCGTACTTCCTCATGAGAGATTGCTTTTGATACTTGTGTAACCATTAGGTCACAAGGAAACAACCTTAATGGTGTGCCAAGGCTCCATTTTGCTAGTAAGTTATAGTAGTTCGCTAGGCATTTGGTTGTTTTGATGCAATTACATGGAAGCTATATTTTATAAGTACATGCTAGTATAGTTCGGAGCATTAGCAAACAAAAGAAGAGTTTCTTGATGTGGTTGCATGTATTTATTTGACCTATGGCGTGATTTATTCATCTGTAGGTAAATAAAAAGTTTTTTATGTCCATCAACTTATGCAAAATACAAACGAAATCCAATCTTGTATAAAACTTTCAACTGTTTCTATTTAGCAGCGTAACCTTAGAATAATATTTTAGTTACACTGTCGTGTGTAACAAATTGGAGGGGGGTGAGTGGGGGTGGTAGTGGAAAGCATTTATGCCATGTGAGAAAATAGGTGTTTAGAGAAAATGTTTGCACCAAGTTTAATGAAGGTGCTATGAGCTATGTTGCACAAATACGGGTGCGAGTGTGAACACGGATACGATGTTGATATGGGACACAAGAAAATTGTAAAAGTTAGGATATAGGGACACGGCTATATGCATACAAGTTAATATTAATAATCTATATGAGATTGATATTGTTTTCATTCACATGTTATGAGGACTAAAATCATTATAACATTTTTATGTTTCTTTTATTGAGTAGATTGTAAATTGCAAAACCTCTCATTTTTAAACTATTGCTGGCATGACCCTTTAATATTGTACTTATGAACTAGGTATTTGCTAAAACGAACACGTCTAGTGTCAAATGAGTTGCGTAAATTTGAGGAAAAGTGTACGATATATGTTCAAGAAGCGTATCACTAGTTTTTTAAACTAAAACATGTCTTATATAAGTGAATACACGTTTGAATAAATGCATGTATATATTAAAGAAGTGTCCAAGTAGTGTCCGACACAAACATGGATACAGTAAGTGTCGAACCGACGAACACGTATGCAAGAGTCTAGATGAAGTGTGCAGGTAACCTAGGCTATGAGATTTTGGTCGTCGAACTCGGCGCTCAATGATTGGTTGCCTTAGTGGTCTCTTTTTTGTTATTTTATTTTAATTATGTTATATGATATTAATGAAACAATTCAATAAAATGTTGGAAAAACCAATAAAATAGAGAAAAGTTAAGAAGGATGACATAAAAACATAGATTTTTTAACTTGAAGAAGAAAGATTGGAAGATTAATAGAAGACCGAGAAGACAAACTTAGGATAAAGAACTTTATGTGAGAGCTACAAAATCTTAAAAGGTCCTTTGAGAGCAGTCAAAGCCGACAGAGAGGCATCAAAGCAACAGTGGATTCATCGGAGCAGCCACAACAAATCATAAAGGTGTGTTTGGTAACCTCTTAAAACTAGGCCAGAATTGATTCTGGTTCAGTTTCGAGATTTTCTTTGTCTAGCAAAATCTGAGCTAGTTAGCCTCGTTTTTCTTAAGTAAAAAATAACCCCTTTAAACTGGTTCTTTGTTGGACCACCATCTTATAGGTTTAGTTCTACTATAGTTTAGGATAAAATTAGGCTACGATTGATCCCGTGAGGTATATCAAAGGTCCCTACGCTTAGAAATCATTATCTTTAGCCCTTTATAAACTTAAGATCATTAATGTTTCTAATTATATCCACATTTTCTTTGCTAAATTTCTATTGATGAACTCCACATTTTTAATTTAGAGATCATCACAATTACAAAATTAAAAAATATTAAAGGAGAAACATATAAATTAGCGAGAGGAGAGGAAAACACGTGAGAATAGAAAATTTAAGCAACATGAAGAATTTAGTTTGAGTTTTATTGAGTTAAGAAAGATGAGGGTATAATGGGTATAGCTAAAAATTTATAAATGAGATGAGAGTATAAGGAGAAACTATATTGTTGTAAAGTTTGTTTAGGGTTAATAGTTTTTAAGCCAAGGGACATTTGATAATACTTACGAGATTTGAGGTGCTTAATAAAATATGTGGTTTGGGGAACTTGTCTTCAAATACTTAAAATTTGGGGACAAATATTAGAATTATCTAAATAGTATTATATTTAAAAAATCCATTGTATACTTTTTGGGGTGTAACTATTAAGAGTTATGATACGAGGACGCATCGGCCAACAAAAATGGTTTATTTAATACATTGGACCCTTCATGGGCATCCATCCCCATCCGACGCATACAAATTATAGATTGCTTGCTGCCTTAGGTTATTTATTACATGTACATTAATGTCCTTTTGACTAAAGATGGTTAATTATTTCATAGTTCATCCAACAGAAATTTTATACACATATTTGTATGTGTCAAGCATACATACACATAATCAACAGAACTATAATTCTACTGGCATATTCTTGTGTTGAAATTTTGAAAAAAGTTTGTAATGACCATACCCATGTTTGTCTCAAGCACCACACTCTTGTCCCTACCTGTCAATTTTGATTGCCATTTATGTCTCATATTACATAATGAACAAATTGTAAGGGCATTAATGAGATGTGAACTTCTTATTCACTTAACCGAGTAAACTTTCCATTTTGAGCCAACGTCTTAATAAGTTAATTATTTCATTTACTTTACTCTTTATGCTGGTTAATATTAAAACCAAGACTAGTGATGATAAATTCATCTATTTATACTAAGGTTATCGATAGTGGATAGCGTCGCGTAGCGGTAAGGAATCTCTAAGACTATTTGGGACAATTGCGGCGAAATAACGGTAAAAAACGTAAAGTAAAATAGCGGTATAATCTAGATATGTATAAATATGCAAAAGAATAAGAAACTTAAAAAATCTAAAAACTCTAAAAGTGCATATTTGATGATTTAAAGAGATCCTAAACATAAAATATATATGTAAGTATCACATAATACTGAAGACGACTGGAGTAGTGGTTAAAGAGGCCTCCTCGAGAAGAGGAGCTGAGCTGCGTGAGGACAACAGTAGGAGGAGCTCATGGCGAGAGGAGGTGAGAGGAAGTATCGAGGGAGGTGCTGAAGGTTATGGAAGGTGGCGGGAATACACTAGAAATCGCAAGAGACTGTAGGATGCGGTGGTTGCAGGTCGGGCTTAATTTAAAAAAAAACTTAAACCACTTTTACATAGCGGTCAAAAAGTGGATTTTGCTTGCAATCACCCGCTATTCACTACTGTTGCGTCCTATTGACCATTTTTATGAGTGAAAAGTGTATATTCTGCAATATGTCACCGCTATTGGGCGATAGTGTAGCTGAAAGGGACTGCTAACGTTATTAGCGCCGCTATTGCAGCACTATTTACCGCTATTTATAACAGTTCTTTATACCAATAAATTGTTAAACATATATCTCTATGTTTGTGTGTAAAAGCATAAATTGAACCTTTTATTTGTCGTGGATCTGTCAAACTTTCCATTAGAATGCTTTCTTTATAAGGATGTAAGCTAAGTTGCATGAAAACAGGTATGGTACTGGTACGGGTGTGGGTATGTGTACGAGACACGGCAAAATTGTAAAATGTAGGGTACGGAGACATGACCCATATATGTGTTGAGATTAATAATTTACACGAGATCATTCTTGTTTTTCAATTCACGTGTTACTAGAATTAAATTCCTATCATTTTTATAAGTTTTTTTGTTATGTTGATTATTATAAATTGCAAACTATTTGTATTTGAACTAAAGACACTCAAATGACCATTTAAAATCATAGTTTTGAACTTGGGCATGGGCTGAAATGAACCGGACTTATGTCTAACAAGTTTCTAGAAATGGTTGTGAGGACTTTGAAGTGTAAGATTTACATCCAAAAAGTGTTTGACAAGTGATTTAAATTAAAACATATACCATATATTGTGTAGATGTCTAAAAAAATGTATGCATACATCCAAGGGGGTATCCATGAAGTTTGGGTACGGAGAAGTGCCAGATATGTGTCGGGTACGGTTACGGCTTCATGATAGAAGTACCAGGGTGACATAGGCTATAACTACCTCGTACCTTTGTGGAATATGAAACTAGTTTGCACGTCACATCATTGCTAATGTCCAAACATATTTGCTTTACCCCGCAAGAAATCCATGAAGCTGTTTTCATTGTTTAAGAAACAATTAACTGATAAATATATAGCACGTTATTTCTATCGTGAAGAATTACCTTGATTTAGGGCAACTTTCTCTTGGACAATCACATAGGTGTAGATGAAGAAAAACAGACTAAAATTTTTTAGTCTTAGATTGTTTATTACGGTAGTAAGTTTTCTTTTGCCTTAGCTAGTACAGGCAAATTGTTAAATTTAATCTATTTAAAAATTTTATGACCTAATTATTAGAAAAGTTGTTATTTTAGTTAGCTTAGTGTTCTATTTGATGGAAGATTAGTTTATTGGAAATCAAGTTTTGTAAGTTAAATAAGACTATTCCCTTCAGTAAAAGTTTAAGTATGTTTATGAACAAAAATATGAGTTCTTTGTGTTGGCCTGAAAATTGATGCCAACATGATTCCAAAATATTATTGGTTCTTTTATGTGTGCTAAAATTGTGTTTATGAAAGGTTTGTCCACCCTAATCTTCTTTCCCCATTTTCTATCTGTTTTTAAATTTTCTCTTACCTTCATTTACTGGTTACTATGATCTCAAAGCTCCATACATGTTCAATTCAAATTATATCACTCTGTACATACATACTCCTTGCAACCCCTTTTTCGTTCTTGCAGACACCATGTGGTCACAATTTCTGCTTGAAGTGCTTCCAGAAATGGATTGGGCAGGGAAAGCGTGATTGTGCCAACTGTCGTGCAGTAATTCCATCCAAATTTGCGTCCAACCCAAGGATTAACTCAACACTCGTTTCAGCTATTCGAATGGCAAGGTTTGCTAAACCAACCATAACAGGGACTTCAAAATTTTATCACCACGTAGACAATGAAAGCAAGCCTGATACAGCATTCACAACTGAACACGCTAAAAGAGCAGGAAGAGCAAACGCTTGTAGTGGCAAAATATTTGTTACTGTTCCACCAGATCATTTTGGTCCTATTCCTGCGGAGAATGATCCCATAAGAAATAGGGGTGTGTTGGTTGGGGACAGTTGGGCCGATAGATTGGACTGTAGACAATGGGGAGCCCATCTGCCACATGTAGCAGGCATTGCTGGGCAATCTGGGTATGGTGCTCAATCTGTTGCACTCTCTGGAGGATACGAAGACGATGAAGATCATGGCGAATGGTTTCTTTATACTGGCAGGTTAGCTCATCTTTTTTCACTGTATTAGTTTTTAGCGCACCAAGTTGTCATTCTTACTTTCTTATATTTAACCTTGCTGTACTAATGTACCATCATGAAATGCTGTCATTTGATGCTCTCGATTGTTGTATAATCTGATGAGTTACTATATTTAATACCTTTTTGTAGTGGTGGGAGGGATCTGAGTGGGAACAAGCGGACAAACAAGGAGCAGTCATCTGATCAGAAGTTTGTTAGTTCAAATGAGGCATTACGAGTTAGTTGCCTAAAAGGGTATCCTGTGAGAGTAGTAAGGTCAGTTTTCCTGTTCTTAAAATTTATGATTTAGAGCTTTTATTTAAAATTTTAATTTAGATCATGTTTCTGCCTTTTTGTTATGTAAGGAAAGGAATGTCATATCGTTTATTTTTTGGGAAAAAATTACTACTTATATATATAGAAGAGGTGGAAAGCGTGAAACATTAGCCACATCTGTTTTGTGCTAATATGTTCTACTTTGCACCACTGAGAACTATTTGGTTTTGCTGGTGCTTTATAGAAACACAAGCACATTGATGATTTTCAGGTGAATGGAACATCAACATAACACATTATAAAACTGCGCAAAACCAAACAGCATGCAACTTGTAAACCCTGTTGTATCAAATACTTGTCAGACATGATTCAAGTTGATGATAGAAGTGTTAGGTCTAGATAAATGGCTGCACATTTGTCTTGAACATGGTATGTCACAAGAAATTCTTTCTGTCATCCAGTAATGCAGTTGGTTTCTTTTTCTTTCATGACCCATTTTGCTCTTAAAAATTTCCTTAAACTTTTCAGTGTCTCTGATACCAATCTATTTCTGCAACACCCTTTTTATGAATATATTCTTATGCTCAGATCAAATAAGTTTGTTGATTTAGATTTTCCTAGGTGCTTTGGATGTTTTGAGCTATGTTTCTGTCTTATATTTCTTATTGACTTATTCACACCTGCAGGTCCTTCAAAGAGAAGCGTTCTTCATATGCTCCAGAATCAGGTGTGCGCTATGATGGAGTTTACAGGATAGAAAAATGCTGGAGAAAACCAGGAATTCAGGTACATTAATCACATAATTAAGACATTCGAATTTCATGGAAAAACACTATTCCTGTGATCTTTTGCTTTGCCTATTATTTTTACAACATTAATTTCTCACAAACAGTTTCTCTGCTTGAGGTTCAGGGTTTTGTGGTGTGCCGCTATCTTTTTGTACGATGTGATAATGAACCCGCACCATGGACAAGGTTTTATAAGCTTTTGTTGGCTTAGTTATTTTTCCTTTTTGTAACTGTCTCCCTTGATATAATCTAGATATATTGTGTTAAAAATAATTTACAATGATTAATAATTTCAGTGATGAGCATGGTGATCGCCCGAGGACCTTACCTGTCATTAAAGAACTTAAGGGTGCTACTGATATAACAGAGAGAAAGGACAGCCCTTCTTGGGATTATAATGTACGGACTAAACTTGTCTGTTCATTCTGTTATCCTTGACTTATAGCATAGCTTAGAATTTTGAGGCCTTCTTCCCTGATTTCCTGATTTCTGCATCTTAGATTAATTGTATAAGCTATGCTATGTAGTCATTTTCTCCATTTTTGTCTAGTTTCCGTTGTATGTTTTTACTATCCGCATTATTTTGAATGAGTAATTAGTTCTTACTTTTAGCAAATTAAAGAACTTTAGTTTCAATCGTTCATTGACTCTGAAGTTCTTATTTTGTTAATGCACCATGGAAGGAGTTACCTGTAATATTTCATCAATACAAGCTGAGTCATGAATTTGTTCATGCTTCCAATTTATCTCCTCGTTCCGACTGAACTTCATGTGACATTAACATTTTATCTAAGCTATTCTGGAACTTCTTATTTCAGTAACATGCTCATTTACAGGATGAAAAGGGATGGATGTGGATGAAGCCTCCACCAGAGAGCAAAAAACGAGTTAGGAGTTTGGATCCCGGAGAGCTAAAGAAAGCAAGGAAAGCTATAAAACTTGCACAAAAAACCTCTATAAGAGAACGGCTACTGAAAGGTTTACTTGTCCATACCTACTCTTGATCTTGGTACATCTGTGCTTGAAGTAATAGTTGTTAACAGTTGAATCTTAACTGTTCTGTCAGTGATCTCTGGTATTTGATTTGTTTTCTCAAGAGTTTCTCTTCATTGATATCCTGTATATATGCATATACTATAAGCCATCAATAGGAAGTTAGAAAAAAAGCTTTCTGAAAGAAAGAAACCATATTAAGAAATTAAAATTAAACTATTATATTTTAAATGTCATGTTAATTCTTTATCTGTCTAATCTCCACAGAGTTCAGCTGTGCGATTTGCCATCAGGTGATGACTTCACCGGTTTCTACACCCTGTGGCCACAGCTTCTGCAAGCCGTGTCTTGTTGGGTTCTATGCTGAGCAGTCCTTTGTTCGGCAGACTGTTAGTGCAGGTGGTCGTACCCTTCGTGCTCGTAAAATAGTCAGGAAGTGTCCTTCGTGCACGTATGACATTGCAGACTATCTCAAAGATCCACAGGTATAAGAGCCCAGAAACTGTAACACTTTCAAGATGAAATTCCCATAATTGTGATTGAAGACATGGAATTGCCATATGAATGCCATCTATTCCTCTATAATAATAGGAGGATCCAAGATTCACTATTCATGCTATACAGTAATGCTACAGTAAATTACTGTAGCATTATTGCTGTAGCACAGGCAGGAAGAACCAAGATCTAATGTTCATGTTGCAATAATATTACTATAGCATTATTACTGCAGCGTTCAAAAAACATTACTGTAGCATTATTACTGTAACTCAAGCGATGTATTGTAGCATTTAAAAATGTTACTGTAGCACATACGAAAAAGCTGTATTTAAATATAGAATTACTATAGCGGAAATAAAAAAATGGAGGCCGTGCTTTGCACAGGGTGCACACTAGTTATATTGATTAGAGAATCATGGTTTTCGATTAGTTGCAGCATTTTATAAATTATATTGTGTATTTCTTCCTTTTTCGTTATCTATATAGCTACATGTAGGCATCTCTCATGCAATAGTGCAATATACAACACCTATGTAATTTCTCAATATGATTATATATGTTAACAATACTTAGCTGTCTTTGTCGTCCATTGATCTGATTGTATCCTCTCCTGTTGCAGGTTAATAGACAGATCATGAATCTGATCGACTCACTTAAGCGTGAAGCTGATGAGAGTGAATTGGCTGAAAAAGGAAAAGATAGTGATGAAGAGGATGATATGAATGAAGATGGCAATGAAGCAGATGAGGGTGAAGTGTTGAAGGGAAGTAAGACGGAAACTGAGGAACCAAAGGAGGCCAAACGTGAAACTTCGATGGATAGTGCTCTAAAAGAGGAATAGGAAAGCGAATTCTGATTAGGGGGGGAAAAGAGCTTCTGATGGATGGTGTATAAGAGCCTCCATTTTGTTTTTCTCTAGGTATATCATGATGTTAAGTTAACAGACTTGCCTTTTGAAAGACTAAAACTTTGGAAGTTATATCAGTTATGAAAATTTTTACTTTTATTGACTATTATATCTGTTATGTTTCAGTGCAAAGATTGTCTCATTTATTCTTTCTTTTTCTTTCATATGTTGTCTGATATTGATTCAAATTGTGCTGTTGGCTCATATCAATTTAACCAAAAGTTGTATTACATCTAACTCGAGTGATGAGAGCTCATCAGTTTTGTTTTCTGAAGATGATAGATATTGTTTGCTTTTAGCAAGACTCCACTGTACAATCTTTGCAGGCGATGGAAAAGATCGTACTGTGGTCTAAATTCATCTACAAGACCTTTGGAATTTTGGTCTATCTAGATGGTGGTTGAACTGTCTCAAGATCTCAGAATATACGTTAAGTTTACAAAAATATGAACGAACACCTAAGTTATCGCATCTCGAAGTCTTTCAGAACCCTGTTTCATGCAAATTTTAACTTTGGATTTAAAAGGCGAGGAACAGTTTCAGTATATAAATAAGCAGCAGCAAATATCATTGCCAGAGGTGTGTCCATTATGGGCATGAAGGATTTTTTTTGAACTGAAAAACAGGGTGAGATACCCTGTTCATAAAGATTTATATATAAGGATATTAAGATAAAAAAGTCTGATACAAAACCAACAATTAAGCCGTGAGGAAAGATCAAAGAAAAGAAGAAGCTGGTAAGGAGCGGACCTAGTGGTAACGAGCTAACTCTACTAAGATCCTTCACTCAAGGCCAAAAGAAAAACACACGAGCTAATATAGAGTCTGGTACACAAAAGCACAAACACTGAATTCTTACAGCACAAAGACAAACAACAAGTTTCCGAGAAAACAAGGCATGCGCAGGGAGAGGCGTACTTGGAGAGAAACGCTGGCCAAGTCAATTGGCATCGGAGAAGTTATCTGCACAAGCACCAGTAGTGTTCTTCTTTGCAATTTCTTGCATCTTCAAGTTTTGAGTAGCCCTACGAATACTCCTCGCCAGTCTGTCATCTTCGGTCACTGTCCAAAAAATGACACGGGCAGCCCTACGAATACGCCTCGCCAATCTATCTTCTTCGGCATCTGTCCAAAAAATGACATACCTAGCAATGTTAGCAGCGATATGAATAGGATTTGTAGGGAAATCTCTAAATATGAGGTAGTTTCTACAATTCCACATCCACCAGCAGAAACACGGTAACAAATATTTCCAAATAACTTTAATATCTACACAAGTATTTGGATCCCTGTATAAGAGAGTCAACGCCTCCATAGATTGAGGCCATCTAGCAATAGGGGCGTGAGGGAGGAGGGTAGACCAAACTGAACATGCAAATGGGCAGAGGATAAACAGGTGATCTTGAGTTTCAACCTCCTGATTGCAGTGGGAGCAACGAGGGTCTCCAGTCCAGCCTTTAGTAATCAAATTGGCTCTAGTGTTGATCTTTTGTTTAGAAATAATCCAAAACAGAACCTTGACCTTCAGGGGGATGTGAGATTTCCAGATGAAGTTATGCATATGGGACTTTAACCCACTGGAGGTGATGTTGGTGTATAAGGATTTAACTGTAAATGAGCCAGATGGATGATAAGGCTACCAAATATTGTCAGGATTAGCATTGATAGCAACTAAGAACACATCCAGGTAGGTTAAAAGCTTATCAATGTCACTTTTTTCTTCATAGGTGATACCCCTACTGAGAATGGAGTGCCAATGCCAGGAAGATTGGTACTAATATCCTTGGGCCCGAACAGAGCTGCAAATTGAAAAAGCAAGATGGCAAGCTTTTGGAAAAAGACTGCTAAGAGAGTTGGCGTTAGTCCACTTATCAAACCAGAAACTACAAGTTCTACCATCACCCCACCTGTCATCTAACCATGCTAAAAAAATAGAGTGAATGGAATGCAAATCAAGTATGAATCTAGATGCTGTGTTTTTTGGAGGATGCACAAATGGGTTGGAATTGTCTTTAGAGTATAGTGAGAAAACAACTTTACTGATGAGAGAGTTTCTATCAAAAGCTTTCCAAAACTACTTGGAGAGAAGGGCAAGATTGAAAGAAGAGATACCAATAACCCCCAACCCTCCGTCTTTCTTAGGCCTGCAAACAGTGACCCAATTGACCAAGCATTTAGTTTTTGATTGAATGCGGCTACCGTTCCATAGAAAGTTCCTCCTGATTTTATCAATAGCCTTAGTAACCCATGTAGGCAGTTTGAAGAAGGACATGTAATAGAGAGGGATAGAAGAGAGAACCGAGTTAAGAAGAGTGAGTCTACCCCCAAATGAGAGGGACTTATTCTTTAAGAGAGATAACTTTTTGATGAAAGAGTCCAGGAGGGGGTGCCACTCCCTTCTGGTCAAAGAACCTCTTTTGAGAGGTAGACCAAGGTATGGGAACGAGAGTGAGCCAACATAGTAGTTGAGGATGGAATCTAGATGAATGCTTTTGTGAGGCATTTTACCAAGGTAAAAAAGATTTGTTTTTTGAGGATTGACATGAAGACCAGAGATATTGGCGAAGAGAAACAAAATAGTTTTGAGTATGGTCATATCAGAAGGAGAAGCCTGCTAAAAATGATGGCGTTGTTAGTGAACTGGAGAGCTTTGATGGAATTAAGCTCACCCTTCAGCTGAAGATCAGATAAAGCCCCCGAAGCTGCACCAGTAATCAACATCTTGTTTTAAACATCAACTAAAATAAAAAATAACATGGGGGAAAGGGGATCACCTTGTTTGAGACCCCTAAAACATCTGAAGAAGCTAGAAGGGGACCCGTTAACTAAAACAACGGATTTAGAGGAATGTAGAATATGATGGATCCAAAGGCACCATTGATGGTCGAAGCCTCTGGCTTGGAGGAGAGAGATGAGGAAGTTTCAATTGACACAATCAAAAGCCTTGAAAAAATCAGCTTTAATTGTACAAATCTCTTTCTTACCAGAGGAACAGAAGTTTATCATCTCATGAGAAAGGAGAATAGAGTCCAACGTGGATTTACTTAACTGAAAAGCTGATTGAGAGTTATCCACCAGCACATGCAAGAATTTTTTCAGCCTAATAGCTAGAACTTTGGAAAAAAAATTTACATGAACTATTGATGAGGCTAATAGGCCGAAAGTCTATAGGGCTGCTAGCACCATCCTTTTTAGGGATGAGTCATATGTGGGAATAGTTGATGTTATGAAGGGATTGAGGGTTGGAGTGAAGAGCTTGTATAAAGGAGATAACATCTGATTGAATTATACTCCAGAATCTCTTGAAGAAAAGAATGGGAAGCCTGTCAGGCCCAGGAGCCTTGTCTGGGTGAAGGTCAAATACCGTTGCAGAGATTTCCTCTTGGGAAAAAGAAGATTGAGAGGAGAAAGATCTGTGTTGCTTTGAGGGTATAGGAGATCCCAGTCCACCTGCAGATTGGAATCATGAGGTTTATGAAAGAGCTTGGAAAAGAAATCAAAAAAAGATTGTATGATGTTAGACTCTTCGGAGATGAGGACGTTATCAACGATGAGATGAGGGATGGAATTTTTTCTACGATAAAAAGAAGCAGCTTTGTGGAAGAAAGCAGTGTTATTATCTTCTTCTTTAAGCCATTGAATTCTAGATCTCTGTTTCCACTTAATCTCTTTAGCCTTAGCAAGAAGGAGAAGCTAGTCATGCAGACTGACTCTAAGTTGAGATTCTAGAGGAGAAAGACTTCTGTATTCTTCAATGGAGTTGAGGGAATTGAGTTGGTCCATAGATTTAGAATAGAACTGTTTGAAGGAGGCAAGATTGTGACTGGACCACTATTTGATTCTCTTCTTGATGAGTTTTAATTTGAGGGGGGGATTACTGAAAGGATCCTCCTTAGAAGAGAAGGAATTTCAGTAGAATACAATGAAATGAGGGAAGGATGGGAAGGATAACCAAAATTTCTTAAATCTAAAGAGATGGAATTTTTGGGGAGAAGATGTATCCAACAAGATAGGGCAATGGTCCGAGCATGGGGATTAATATGCAAATTGGATAAGGAGAGAGAATTTAGATTCAAAGTTCAAAGAAACTAGGAATTTGTCTAGTCTAGCTAGCGAAGGGGGAGATCTGTGGTTTGACCAAGTAAATTTCCTGCCACTAAGAGGGAGGTCTATGAGACGAATGCAGTTAATGAATATAAGAAAGACCTCTATATCTTAGAGAGAGAGAGAGAGAGCTTGAGCGGTCACTCCTTTCAGCTAGACTCATGGTCATATTGAAATTACTGAAAACGACCCAAGGTAGAGAATGAGAATCCCTAATCCTCTTGAGTTCCCACCAACACACATCTCTGTCTGTCGATTCACATGGAGCATAGATAGAGATGGCGACAAAAAGACTAGTTAGAGAGAAGATGAGTGAGAGTTGCTGTGACAGAAAAGATACCTATGGAAGATGAGGAGCATAAAAAAATGTCTTCATTCCAACCAATAAGGACCCCCCTCTAGAATCAGATGCATCTAGGGAAATCCAGGAGGAGATGTTTCTACCCCCCAACTTTTTGAGAATGATAGGACTGGGCGAGCAAAGTTTGGATTCTTGCAAACCCACTAAATAAACATTTGCAAGCTGTAGACACTCTCTCACTAGTCTACGCTTAGCTAGCTTGTTTAACCCTCTAACATTCCATGAACCAATCCGCATGGCAAAAGAAGAGAGGAAACTTAGGAGGAAGGCAGGAGCCCTTAATAGGGATGAGCCCCAAGAATCTTCGTGTTCTGGATATCCCTCAAAACATTAGGATCAACAGGACCTTTGATACCACAATTTATAGAAAGTCCTCCAGCTTCTCTAAATTTAGAGAGTTAATAGGAAGCGTAGATTCAGAAGAGGAGATTTTTCCCTTGGAGGTACCTGGATACTTGCCTCTCCTCATTAACAAGAGGTGCCGCCTGTAAGGTAGTTTGAGACATCAGCCCGCTGTGGGACTTCTTCTTGGACGCCTTAGCTTGTCTTTTAACATTTTCAAAGTTAAGGGGGGGGGGTCGCTAGGGGGGGGGGGTCTGAAGAGGAAGTAATATCCAGGGAGTTAGAGGAGCTAATCTGAATAG